TAAAAACAGATTATCAAAGAATTTTTTTAAAAAGTCCTAAGTCTCCTGAGTTCCAATAAAATTCCCTAATTTTTCCAGGTAAAAAAATTGTTTAAAGAATTCCAGGTTTTTCAGGAAATAAATACTCTGTATATATACATCAAAGTATCCGAAACGGGGATGATGTGAAAAAGCAATCATTAAAAGCTGCCTTGCGCCGCAATACGCATGCGAGCACCTCTCGACTTATAGAAGTTTAGCCGTTAACTTAACCGGCGTTTACCTTAATCTAAGATCAGCTACGCGGCCCAAGCCGTGCTTCGCGCGATATAATATATGGCGTATGAATATGCATTGGACACGGTACGAAGTCTTCGCCGCGTGCGTTTGCCGAGTATACATATGTACGCCCCACGTTGACGTGTTTGCCCACGCTCACTTTGCTGGTATACATGAACGATATGCTTTACGCGGTGCATGTTACACTAGTATTTATTTGTATGTGTGTGTGTGTGTGTGTGTGTGTGTGTGTGTGTGTGTGTGTGTTATGTGTGTCATGCGTGATACAGTTGTGGATCGGTGTGTGTGCATCTGTCTCTCGGTGTGCAAGAAGCTCGATGTGCGATTACTATTTCGGCTTTAGTTTACAATGTAATAATTCCAACATTCTGCAAAAAGCATTTATAGGAAGGAAATCTTGCGAGGAAAAATGTGCAAATATGCGTGTGATATCATTAATCATTCGGCTTTCAGTGCTTGTTGCACGATAATCATACATATTGTTATCTGAAGCGTCGCTATCAGACAGTTTGCGCGAAAGTATTATTCATATACAATTCTGTATTATTAGGACTCGTTGAAAAATTTTTTATATTTTGTTTCCTATATCGCGAAAATCCTATTAAATTCTTGTAGAAATCAAAATTTCTAAAACTCCAAAAGGAAATTGTTCAATTGATAATTGTCTCGTAAATAATTATCTCATAGGAAGATTATTTTCTTTCTTCTATAAAATCTACTTTTTTACACAGCTTTTGGCAATACTCCAATAATTTTGGTAATAATACGCTAATAGAAAATACTTTTTGTAAATATTTTGAATATATCAAGATTAATGATAAAGACAAAAAATTGTCATTGTATCATTTTATTATAATAGTTATTAATTTTATTTATTTTTAAGTTATTAACATAAAAAATAATATTATAGAGTAAAAATTTAAATAAAACAAAATTAATTAAATTATTTTGATTTTGATGATGTTATAATAATTATATATAATTAGCATCATATTTAATAATAATTGCGTAGATAAAGTTAAATATTTTATAGAGAAAGAATGGAAAAAAGCATAAGGGCATCTGCTGCGTATTTTTGACCGGATATTCACTTAAAAGAAGTTAAATATAAATCTTTTTCCAATATCTATTACTAATGGATATATTTATTTGAAAAAATAAAAAATTGTGCGTATATATATATTGTTTTAAAAAAAGTTTATAAGTTTATTATAATTAAATTTATCAATTTTTGAAAACACGTTAGTTATTTGAAATTTTTCACACAATATATATTTTGAAATAAGTATTTTTTCTGTCGATTTTTTTATTTCCCATTATAATAATGATATTAATATATATATATATATATATATATATATATATATATATCCTAGATCCTAAAACATAATTAAATAATTATTAATAATAAATTAATAATAAGCTATTATGCTTTAGAATCTAGAACCTGTTGCTTTGTATTATCCTGCAAAAAAATAGCTCATTGGAATAAAAAATAATTGTTATTATAAATCGTATCGCTGTAAAGTTAGAATCGTATATAGATTTTTCTCGTAATTAGTTTACTAGATATTATTCGATAAAAAACAATGCGATTCGATATGAGAAAATAATGAGTGTTTCGTTGGTTAACGAACGCGAGAGTAAAGTGCGTTACTTTTGTGGATGTGTGTGGAAGTAATTTGTGAGTAGCGGATGTGATACGATGTGTGGACGTTGGGCAAGTGGAAGGTGTATTCTTATCTGGGTGAATTTTACGAGCGTTTTAAAGGATCGTTAATTTCAGAACTTATATCGTATTCGTCTCGAGCGGCCGTTTCTAACAGCTGCTGGAAACGAATTGTAACGAAAGTTGAGCATCGATGTTGGCGCTGCCACGTTAAATTAGCGACTCTCTAATCATCGAAGCGAATTTATGGTTGAGTTTTAGATTATTAGTCGGTCAAAGATCAATGACAAATAAATTTATTTACGTAATGTAATTGTGTATGTTTTATGCAACATCTGTCAGGTTCTGATTGTTTACTTAACATGAAAGATGAAGACTTCACCAAATATTTTATCATTTTGACGAAATCAAACGTTTGGGAAAAATTGATTTTAATTTTAGATACATATATTTAATATTATTATAATTAAAACCATTTTGCTGGCATCTGAAAAACATTTCATTATAAATTTCAATTTCGGGAATGTATAACTAATGAAATAATTCATTAAACAAGCTGTAAATAATATATTATTTTCTTTTATAAAAAAAGGAGAAGAGATGCTCTGTAAAAAATTCATAAAACTTTGATAAAAGAGACAGTGGAGATAAGATTATGTATATGCAGATTATGGAAAAATGTTTCCTGAATACGTTGAGCTTAAGTTTATACATTGTTTCAAAGTGACTGAAAAATGTCATCCAACCGGAGCGTCTGGGATTTATGAGGCTTAATTGACACGTTGATGGGAGCAGTTTTAACGCTCTTAACTTTTCACTTCGTCTTTCTGACCCGGTCGCGAGACTCAAGTAAATCGCATCTTCATGTAAATTTAATGACGTACACGTGGATGTTACTTGTTAGGTATTAGCGCGATACATCCATATTAATCTTTTCAGACAGCTTTCCACGTTGAAAAGTTCAAAGAGTCTAGAAATTTTCCTCAAGATTTCCAACATTTACTAGAGTAGCATACTTTATTAGTTTTTCATTTTTCAAAAAAATTATATTTATATTTGTGCTCTCTCTCTCTCTCTCTCTCTCTCTCTCTCTCTCTCTCTCGCTATATATATATATATATATAGCGAGAGAGAGATATATATATACATATATATATATATATATATATATATATAATATATATATATATATAAAGATTTATTTTAAAAAAGGTTTCGTATCAAATCTCTTTTCGACAGAATGAGTAAGCGTAATCAATTGCATTACAATATGTACATAATTAAGAATTGCATATATCCGACATATTAATATTTACAGTTGTGATATGTTACATTAATTGTGATTCCTTCACATTCAAGATCATTATAAAATACTAGCATAAATCGGTTTTACTTTACCTCACTATTCATGAGGTTATATCAAGAATATTTAAGCATTATAAAATATGAATATAACAATATAAATGACGTTTCCTGGTAATTAACGTCGAGTTTTTTTTATACATTCAAGTTGCACTCGCAACTTTCATGAAGATTTCAGTAAGCTAATTACCAAGCGATAAGTATGTTGTTTAACGATGCTAACTTTTCATTTCGTTACCTCGCGAATGCGACACTCGTCACTAATTCTCATGTTTAATTAATGAGATGTATGTAGGTACGAATGCATCGTCTTTCAGACGCACCCATGCAATACGAACACGCATGTTCGGCATATCCGAAGGAGCAATGCCTGTAAAGATGCGTGTAAAACGAAGGATAAAAAATTATCCACACACATTCTGACCGAGTCACCGACTTTTGTGTCGAGTCACGCTTCGATGAGCATATTATAGGTTCCGTTAATTTTTTCCACAAAAATAGCTATTTCGCAAATCGATTCTTCAGAATAAAAAAAGAGACAGAAAGAGAGAGAGAAATCATAAGTCTATATAAATTTCTAAACTCTTGGATGCGTTATCATATATTTTATCACATATTATATGATTATTATACAAATATATACTATAAAAATTAAGTTACATTCTGCTATTCAACTATAAAACTTATATTGCAAAATGTTTAATAATCTATTAAACATTTAAATATAGTTATTTTCTCATGTACTTGCGTATTTATAGTACACCATATGGGAACAACATATGTAAGCACAGTCTTCTATAATTAAATGATATCATCACACACATTCCTAATTTCTATACTTTTATCATTTTTGTATATATTTTGTGCGTACCACTCGTCATATCTTTATTTCGATTCGATTTTGCTAATATCAGAATAATTGTTCGTTTCAATGTACTATCAGAATTACATTTGTATTATAGGCAGTTTTTTCTAAACTTAATACTTCTGAAAAACTTTTGTATTGCAATTTTACATATTTTCGTCAAAATAGTTTTTTGTTAATATTTAGGAGAATTGAAAAAATATATAAATTCAGACCGTTTCGAATAAAGCAAATAGCTCTTTTTTTCAATCTACTAGTTTTTAATTGAGCCAATTCAACTGAAAAAAGATAATTTTAGGTTTGTTAATAATTATTTATTATATAACGTAATGTTATTTTCTTAATGCAAATTTCTTTATTTGTGCATAAACATAAGATTGTAAACACTTAAAGTAAAACTCTTTAAGATAAACTACTCTTTAAGAATTACAGCGATATTGTTTTTATATCGATATTTTTTTATAGTTTTAAAATAATTATTGTATATGTCATGCAAATTCAAATCAATTACATGTTATGCTATCATTTACAATGATTATCATTTATGAATCATAAAAATTTTACAATACTTATTATAAAAGTAGTTATCATTTCTCATTAGATAATAATTGTTACTATCAGGTTTTACCATTCAAAAATATTCTAATGTCACAATTATTCTGATTGACTCTATCATGACACAATTTAACGCTCAACGTCACTCTACGACGACATTGGTAACACAGGCAAGTTAATCAACGCGCTTCTTTGATATGCTTAACGAGCCTCTTCTTGAGTCTCGACGACAGGGGAGGAAAGAAAAAGTTCACGTAGCAAAAAACTCACTCGCTCGCTCGCTTGCTCGCCCAGACTTCCAAGCTCTGCTCGTCGCTTCGTCTCCTGAATTCGTAAATTCGCGGAGTAACTTCGTCGGAGCTGGAACCACCCTTCTCCGTTTCGATGGCACTTCACCCCTTCCAGATGGTCTCGCCGGACCTTCTGTCCCCCCTTCCCCTCTTATTCTGCACGCTCCGCGATGATCCATCGCTGTTCCATCTCTCGAAGAGAGCTCTCGGAGGAGAGCAAACTGGAAGTGGGAGTATCATCGCCCGCTCCACCCTTCGCTCTTGCTCTATCCTTCCTTCTACTTTATCCAATCTCCCACCGTTGCTCCCACCATCGTCGTCTTTCGCGCGAGGAACCTGGACACCCCCTATTCCCCTTCACCCACCCGGACTATAATGAAAGATATTAACTACAATTTTATATCGAATTACCGCTGAAACACATTTCAAATTACTTGGGCGTAGCCGAGCCACGTAACGGAGGCGCCGTGGTTGCTTTAGTTGGGATTGGCGGGATGCTTAACGGCGACATGCAGGATTGGCCCGGATTGATCGGTGGTGGGGTGATTACGGGGCGTGCCAGACTGGCGATATGGCCGCCCAGGAATGAGCAGAGGTGCTCGTCGTCCTCAGTACAGACAGACCAGTCGTGGCAATTCGATGCACACGCACGCACGCACGCACACCTCGCGTCAGGACTACGTTTCCATTTGAAACACACCGATCGGAGCGGTTCTTCTTTCACCAAAGTGTCACTCGCGCAACAGATTGATCTTTATATCGGAATTGCACGTTCGCAAAGCTAAACCGCGAAATCGCTATTGATCGATCAATCGGATTGCTTCTTAAGCTTTGTATATAGTTGTATAGTTCGTCATAAATTGGTCCAGAAATTAAAGCAGACTAACAGAAATCTTTGTCAAAATTTGACTCGAATAATCGAAATGATTTTAACGCGACAACCAAGTGACAGTGCGACTTAAAAAAAAACAGTGCAAATAGGCTGACGATATATTGACAATTCAAAATTAGTAAAACGCTAATAAAAAGCCCGTCGCGAAAGTGATCAATTATGCAACGTGTGACGGACAATCGTAATAAGCCTATTTAAAGACAAACTTTTGAAACAAACACGAATCGAAACGGACCAATCGAGTGAATGATTATTGAACTGATTGTGAGTTGATAAATGTGATTACTTGTGGTACTTCGTTTACGCGACATGTAATTGTGATAGGATAAAGGTGGAGGTGCGTGCCAATGTCTAGGAATTCTTCCTTAAAACTTTCATCACATCGTTTTATTGAACGACCAATCAGCAAAAAAGTTTTCAAGATTATTTGTTCGAACTCAAAGTCTTCAAACTCATTTCGACGAATAATTCACCAATTTACCATCGCATATTTGTGCAAAAGTGAGAGGGACGGAGTCTTATATAAAAATAATTACTAATTAAAGGTGCAAAAAGAAAAGGAAAAAAAGGAAAGCGGAAGTGGTCGGCGGCTTCGCTCTTACGCGCGGCAATTATGTTAAGTGGCCAATTAGCAATTAACCGGGGAGCCGAGCCGAGCGGCCCCTTAATTGCTTGGGAAGAAGGTGGAGCGACCGAGTAAACGGGAGGAAGTGCAAGGTGTACTCGCATCTCGACGCGAATATCGGTTTCACGTACCATTTATGCCGGAGATTTTTCCGGGATGATTTTCGCTGGTCGATTCTCTAAATTGTAAATTTAAACGTTTGCGCGATTTAAAGGCTCCAATGCCTTTGTAAATTGAATGAATCTTTGAAATCTGATTTATTAAAACGCCAAGCGTATTCATGTCCTGGACACGAATGAGCGAAGTTTCTTGACATTATCAACGAAAACTCAACATAGTGGATTCAAGATAAACGTCAAGAATGTTAGGCAACAACGTATTCGTTGCACATGTAGAAGAGGAAAAGTGACCCAGAAATCGATTCTATCTGGAATTACAGTGAAGTGAAATTGAATTAGTAAGGGCACGATCTTTTTGGCGTAGGCTACGTCGTCATCGTCGGCAAGATTCTGTCTCCCAGGTACCGGGCAAGTCCTGGGGTGGCGACAGAGGCACCTACAGGTGCCCGTAGCCCGAAGGAACCACCTGCGTCTAGCGTGATGACGGTCCATCACCAGCAGAACCACCACGTGGCCGCTCTCAGTGGCGTTGCCGTGGCCAATAACGGCCTGAATCTTAGTAGGATGTCTGGCCTGGAGGCGCATCGGCTGGAAAACATGGTCGATCGAAACGGCATTGGCATCGAACGTCTCTCCAATGGACTAGACTCGCGCAATAATAATCTAAACAACAATAATAACAATCTAAACAACAACGATAACAATAACGGGCTGGAAAGAGGCGACGCCTCGACAACGATGCCACAAAGATCGAGATTTATGATCACTGACATTCTGGGCGGCGCGTCCAGCAAGATGCATCAGTCCGGTCTGCCTAGCCAGGAGCCACCCGGAAGTCCACCCTCGACTCCGCGAGATCTCAGTGTCAGGCATCAGTCCAGAACGTCCTTGAGCACCAGTAATCTAGATGAGGACAGCGACGCTAGTCATCACGACGGTGCTTCCGTTACGTCCAATGGTAAATCACAGTTTATTACATGTTTTCAAAACTGCTTGTCGTTTGCTAGAGCTAATATAAAGCTGCAACAGTATCGATATGGCCTTTTCTAACGATATTTACATATCAGTAATAGAATCTTTTAAGCCGAAAAAAGAATTATATTTTCGATACAGTTATATCAGAAACGTGTTGGCTAAATTCTTGAAAAATAATCATAGAGTCATAAAAGAAATAAAATACAATACACAAGCCAATTGATTCAAGTTGAGTATTTTTATAACGTATTTTAGATAAAATTTAACACATCCAATAATTACTTTAGGGGATTTTTTATTAAGACTTAGCTATTTAGTTTTATTTCTGATTCTTTACTGAATTTTTTTACATTTCTTACAAGATTAAACTTTACATGTCTATCCAATAGTTTGATCAATTTAATTTTTTTCCTCATAGATAATAGAAAAATAGTAAAAATATTACAATGTTTTTCAACCTCTAAAATAATTATTTGGATAGTTTAAATATTAGTTTGATTGAAAGACGCTCAAGGGATGCTCTTTTACGAAAATAAAAATATGCGAACATTGTGTTTTGAAATTTCATCTATTTATCTGATCACTTGCGTGGACTTTTACGAAAATATCAAGGATATTTACGGGGTACATGGTTCTTCTCGCGACCGGATGTCCTAATCGGTGAGATCACGTCGACCGTCGCTGATTGTGATTGTATAGAGTGCCTCTCTTTCGAGAATCAGATATATCTTTCTCTGCGTAGAAAGGTAAACGTTTCTCTTTTTCTCTCTCTCTTTCTCTTTCTCATCTCAAGTTGTTGGGTCTATTCGATCGACAACGTTTAGGAATTCTAATGGTTCTAAATTGGAGCTCGGCATTTTCGAAAGCTTTAATTATGTTACCCTCATTTGCTTCATTCATCTTTTCTACCTGTGCCGTTGTATCCTCCAGCTGAACAAGTGCTAAGTCGTCATTAACTTCTCTAATCGGATGACGCCGAATTTCGTAAGATGTCGAGAATACTCGTATTATGCAGAAATTTATACATACATGATAAAAATGCAATAAAACGAATAAAACTGATTCTTTATCATGGATCAATTACATTATTAATTTCTTCAAGAAAGTAAATATGCAAATTATTAACCTTACGATATACGTAAAATTAAACACAAATATAATAATTGCTTGGAAAATGAAACTTGAATGAAAAAAAAAAACTTGCTACTCGATTTTTATTACGTTCACATTTCAACAAAAAAATGTCGCGTTACTATGAATCAAGTAGCTATCATAAAAGTCATATTTATCCGACGAAGATGCTATTAAGGTGACTTATACCAAGCGTATCACAATCTCTGTTAATTGACAGTTTCTCTTGCAAATCCGTTCTTCTTTTCGTCCAGAATGGTTGTTTTTAAATGCGAAGCCGCTGGCTATAACGGCTGTTTGTTTCGTAATTGGCTTATTTCCTCAAAGAAGCGCATTATTAACAATTATGCGGATGATGGCAATGTGATTAGAAGCGGTGATACTAATACTGCTTCTCGCTCTCAGCTAAATTTGATGCTGCTTCGTTGCAAATACGAAAACAAGCAGTCGTTTCGGCCGCGAAGACGCCAATTTTTCCACGACATTGACTCGTCGCGACGGTTCGCACCTTGCGCCGCATCGCTATTTATAACGCCCCTTAAGTGTTTCACGAACAAGACCAATGACCAAAGTCCCGGCGCAACGACAGTGTGGCGTTTGAAAATCTCAAGAGTCACGTCATGGTAATCGATAATCGTCGTCCTTGTCTCGACTACGGTGACACGAGAAATAAAAAAAAGTACTTGCGCGTGCGATAAAGAGACATAGTATGCTGAGCTAAAATCGACACGATCGCATATTTTATTACATTTTCGTTATAAACTTGAACTTAAATATGCAATAACTTGTAAAAAATATCAAGTAAAAAAGATAAGTTATAAATAAAATTTTAAAATATATATTTCAAAATTTTATTTATAATTTACCTTTAGATTATTGTTTGAATTACAGTTTGGAAAGTAGCATTCTATATTTATAAGATACTACTAACGCTACATATTATTTTGTAAAATATCTATATTAATATTGTTATTTTATTTATTTTATTTTTAAATATATTTCATATACAAATAACTTTTTATAAGCTCCTTGATATGTTTATCAGCATATTATTAGCATATTATATTTAATCATACTTACAGATGTGAAAAATATATATCGATAAAAGATATTTTTATAATATCGATAAGAAAAAAATTAAAAACAAGATATTCAAGCATTTCAAAAATCACATAAAATTCATTAAAAAGTCAATTATTACAGTGTACTATACAGGGTGTTTCAGAATTCGCGGATACGGACTCAACAGCGTGATTGTTTCAAAACAAACAACTTTTTCGTCTGGTAAAATTGCGTCTGAGCATTACTTTTTAAATGAGAACAACTTTAAGCTAACGAATAAGTGTCTTATGATTTATGATATTAACTTACAATTAGATTACGCTTGAATCAGGGGCGGCGTGCGCACGACATTTGAGCGTGTATGTTATTTTATCTTTACTTATCGAAATCCTATAAAAACATTAGAAGAGATTTGGAAGAACAACTTCATTGTGCAATGGCAACTGTCACATCAGAAATGCTCCAACGAGCACAAGAAAATCTTATTTGCAGAGCTAATATGTGTATACAAATGAAAAGTCTGCATTTTGTGCTTTTAACATTTAATCGGCCCTTTTTAAGGCCAACAAATTTTCAAAACGTTGGAACAATAATTTTAGATTAAAATTATTTACAAGTAATTTAATCTTATTTTTCCTTCAGCAGTTGCTTCGGGGTATCAATTAGAAAATCTTCTCTTATTAAGGATGTTTTGTATGTACAATCCCAGCAAAAGTAGCTGAAAATCAATATTGACAAATATATCCACTTTTGGTGTATTTTGAGTAAGAAATTGTTTGGAATATTATAATTTGATCTTAGCTATAGTGCAGGGATGTATTTTTAATATTTATTGCGTTTTTACTGAAATATTCCGAATTTTGTGAATCGAAATGATTAACTTTTGACAGAAAATTTCGCCTTGTGACAGATACATAACTAACTTGATTGAATTATATTTAATATCTTTTTAACCAGTTAATACTTGTATAATATTATTTGACCAAAAAACTTTTTGCAAATTTTAAACAAATTCTGAATATTATTTCCATGTGTTTTTATCATTTGAATCGACGTTATACGTTTCCCATAAGAACACATGTTAATTCGGTGCAAATTAAAATCCTTATAACTTGTGAACGCTTTTTTAATGAATCGATTTAAAAATTGTGTTGAAGATTCTAAACATATGTAAGGACATTCTGTACAATTTTCATTAAATTCTCAATATTTTGAAAATAGGTACAAAACATTCTTAAGTAAGTTGTACTGAAAATAGCGATATTTAGATGCATAATTCTTGTAACACTTTAATGAAATGGTAAAATAGCATACATGCTCAAACGCCACAAATGCCGTGCGCATGCCGCCCCTGATTCAAGCGTAATCTAACAATAAAACGTTTATTCGTTAGTTTAAAGTTGATCTCACTTAAAAAACAATACTCATTGTCAGATGCAATTTTGCCAGATGGAAAAGTTGTTTGTTTTGATATGAACACACACTGTGGAATCCGTATCCGCGAATTCTGAAACACCCTGTATACTCATTATATTATAAATTATATTTTACAAGTCTGCTCCATTTTCAAACAATGAAACAATTTCGTAAAATTCCTTACATTGCAATCGAGAGTCAATTTCTTATACATAAACGGAGCTCTAATTCACATCGCGAGTTATATTAGGGCAGAGATATTTTGTAAAAATTTGTAACGCTTCTAATTAAAAAAAGCGCGAGGACACAAATGATATTAAAATTTTTTTTCATTTAAGCTAATAACATTCATTACTGGTGTTATCAGACAGTGGTCGACGCGACCATAAGCGTAAATGGTAGCCACCTTCCGTGGTACGTCATCCATGCAGCGGAAGATCGCGGAATTATTAATGAAGGACAATTAGGAGGAGTAACGCCGATGTAATTGCCGCGCCGCACGCTTTCACGTAGATTGGCCCAGGTGGTTTTTTCTTTTTTTTTACACAGGGACGTTCATTCCAATTTCCCGTCTAGATTATTACATTCCACTATCATCGTAGCCAGCAGCAGCGCGTCACGGTACAAATACGATCGATTCTTCACGCGGCGTTGATTAGAAAATTATTAACGTCAGACTAACAGCTAGATGTAATTGTCGACGGATTTACGCATCAATCATATACGCAGTTGATCGCTCGTTAGCTGTTTACTTCTCGCTGAGATCTCGAACCTCTAATTATCGTATCCCCAAGTATGTCCTTACGTGAAAATTATACCGAGCGTTGATGAGCGAGGAAATATTAGCGCAATAAGGGCAATTTAATGTAGTGACGCCATTTTAATCACAGAGCGAATATATGTTCTTTATACGCACATATATGTGCGTATAAAGAAAGGTATTTTATATTCAATTTTATTTTTACATTTGTGTGTGTGTGTGTGTGTGTGTTATTATATATACACGTGTGCAATACACTTTACAATATCACGATAAAATTAGAATTTCTTTTGATTGTTTTCTTTAATCATGTATATAATTGATTTTTTCTACGCATTATTAGTTATCTACAGCATAGGACTCAAAACTTGGATTAAAAATGTGGATTAAAAACTTATGTGACAGTTGTATATATTACTACTTAACATCAATTAATTTTTTATGAGCAAGAAAGAAAATAAGGTTATAAGAAAGAATTTTTTTTAATTTTTTTTAATCCGATAAGTTTCTTCAAATTTAACAGAATCTGAAATTCTAATCATTTCAGAAAAAATATTAAAATTATAAATTTATATATTTATATCATTGCTTACATATTTCTGTGTGTGTGTGTA